TTTATGGACACTCTGCTTCCTGTCAGTGAGCCATGATTCGATCCACGAGAGCACTTTTCCCCCAATGCCATGAGCTGCCACTTTCTTTAACAGTCTATGGTGCGGAACTCTATCAAAAGCCTTTAAAATCTAAGTAAATAATATCAAATTCTTTATCGTGGTCAACAGCCTCAAAAGCTTTACTGAAGAAAGTTAATAAATTAGTTAGACAAGACCGGCCTCTTGTGAATCCATGCTGAGTATCATTAATCAAGCTATGCTTATCGAGATGGCTTCTTATAATCTCAGCTATAATTGACTCAAGTAATTTGCCTACAATTGAGGTCAGGCTTATTGGGCCGTAATTTGATGGTAACGACTTGTCCCCTGTTTTAAAAATAGGAATTGCATTAGCCATCTTCCACATATCAGACACTACACCTGTTTGAAGAGATAAATTAAAAATATTAGTTAATGGTTCACAGAGTTCCATTTTGCATTCCTTAAGAACCCTTGAAAAAACCTCATCAGGACCCGGCGACTTATTTTGCTTCAGTCTGTCTATCTGCTTCACAACCATTTCACTAGTGACTGTGATGTTACATAATTTATCTTCTTCTAGCCCACTATAAAAATTAATTACTGGAATATTGTTAGTGTCTTCCTGTGTAAAAACTGAGAGAAAATAATTATTAAAAATCGAGCACATTTCATTCTCTTTGTCAGTAAGGCACCTAAAATGGAGGAATATAGCAAATAATATTGTTGCAGTAATAACACCAGGAGGCAGCTCTGATGAAAACTCACACTCACGCGAGCTTTTAAATCTCTGCACAAAATTCAATTTAAACCAGCAAATAATAGAGCCTACTAGACTGGAGAATACACTAGACCTCATCTTCACTAACAATGATGATCTGATAAGAAATGTCACTATATCAAAAACAATATACTCAGATCACAACATAATTGAGGTTCAGACATGTATGCGTGGAGCCCCAGACCGACATAATGAGACTAGTCACGAGGGAGCATTCACCAAATTCAACTTCAATAACAAAAACATAAAGTGGGACCAAGTAAACCAAGTCCTAACCGATATAAGCTGGGAAGATATACTAAGCAACACAGACCCCAACTTATGCCTAGAACAGATTAACTTGGTGGCACTCGATGTATGCACAAGGCTTATTCCTGTAAGAAAAAGGAGGAGTAGATGTAAAATAGAAAGAGACAGGCACTCCCTTTACAGGCGACGGAAAAGAATAACAGAGCGGCTAAAAGAGGTCAATATATCTGAAATGCGTAGGGAGACACTGGTCAGAGAAATAGCAAGCATCGAACTTAAGCTAAAGGAATCTTATAGGAGTCAGGAATCGCGGGAAGAACTAAAAGCCATAAATGAAATCGAAAGAAACCCAAAGTATTTCTTCTCCTATGCCAAATCAAAGTCGAGAACAACGTCCAGTATTGGGCCCCTACTTAAACAAGATGGGTCCTACACAGATGACAGCAAGGAAATGAGTGAGCTACTCAAGTCCCAATATGACTCAGTTTTTAGCAAGCCGCTAACCAGACTGAGAGTCGAAGATCAAAATGAATTTTTATGAGAGAGCCACAAAATTTGGTTAACACAAGCCTATCCGATGTTATCCTGACGCCAAATGACTTCGAACAGGCGATAAATGACATGCCCATGCACTCTGACCCAGGGCCAGACTCATGGAACTCCGTGTTCATCAAGAACTGCAAGAAGCCCCTATCACGAGCCTTTTCCATCCTATGGAGAGGGAGCATGGACACGGGGTCGTCCCACAGTTACTAAAAACAACAGACATAGCCCCACTTCACAAAGGGGGCAGTAAAGCAACAGCAAAGAACTACAGACCGATAGCACTAACATCCCATATCATAAAAATCTTTGAAAGGGTCCTAAGAAGCAAGATCACCACCCATCTAGAAACCCATCAGTTACACAACCCAGGGCAACATGGGTTTAGAACAGGTCGCTCCTGTCTGTCTCAACTATTGGATCACTACGACAAGGTCCTAAATGTACTAGAAGACAAAAAGAATGCAGATGTAATATATACAGACTTTGCAAAAGCCTTCGACAAGTGTGACCATGGCGTAACAGCGCACAAAATGCGTGCTAAAGGAATAACAGGAAAAGTCGGTCGATGGATCTATAATTTCCTCACTAACAGAACACAGAGAGTAGTCGTCAACAGAGTAAAGTCCGAGGCAGCTACGGTGAAAAGCTCTGTTCCACAAGGCACAGTACTAGCTCCCATCTTGTTCCTCATCCTCATATCCGGCATAGACAAGGATGTCAGCCACAGCGCCGTGTCTTCCTTTGCAGATGACACCCGAATCTGCATGACAGTGTCTTCCATTGCAGACACTGCAAGGCTCCAGGCGAACATCAACCAAATCTTTCAGTGGGCTGCAGAAAACAATATGAAGTTCAACGATGAGAAATTTCAATTACTCAGATATGGTAAACACGAGGAAATTAAATCTTCATCAGAGTACAAAACAAATTCTAGCCACAAAATAGAGCGAAACACCAACGTCAAAGACCTGGGAGTGATCATGTCGGAGGATCTCACCTTCAAGGACCATAACATTGTATCAATCGCATCTGCTAGAAAAATGACAGGATGGATAATGAGAACCTTCAAAACTAGGGAGGCCAAGCCCATGATGACACTCTTCAGGTCACTTGTTCTATCTAGGCTGGAATATTGCTGCACACTAACAGCACCTTTCAAGGCAGGTGAAATTGCTGACCTAGAAAATGTACAGAGAACCTTCACGGCGCGCATAACGGGGATAAAACACCCTCAATTACTGGAGCGCTTGAGGTTCCTAAACCTGTATTCCCTGGAACGCAGGCGGAAGAGATACATGATTATATACTCCTGGAAAATCCTACAGGGACTAGTACCGAACTTGCACACGAAAATCACTCACTACGAAAGCAAAAGACTTGGCAGACGATGCAACATCCCCCCAGTGAAAAGCAGGGGTGTCACTAGCACGTTAAGAGACCATACAATAAGTGTCAGGGGCCCGAGACTGTTCAACTGCCTCCCAGCATACATAAGGGGGATTACCAACAGACCCCTGGCAGTCTTCAAGCTGGCACTGGACAAGCACCTCAAGTCGGTTCCTGACCAGCCGGGCTGTGGCTCGTACGTTGGTTTGCGTGCAGCCAGCAGCAACAGCCTGGTTGATCAGGCTCTGATCCACCAGGAGGCCTGGTTACAGACCGGGCCGCGGGGGCGTTGACCCCCGGAACTCTCTCCAGGTAAACTCCTGGTAATACACCCATCGTACAAGATAGTTTCCCAAGCATATTTCATAATACAGGATAAGGGCTTCAAATAATGTAATAGAGATTTGTCATTATAATAATTATTATTAAACTGTATTTGAATGATAGATTGGAGCATATGATTACATATTGATGAGAAAGCAGTTTAGGAATTTATATGTATGAAGAATTGTAAAGAATAAGGAAATTCTTAGATTAAGTTGTGAAGTTCCTCGAACGCCTCAGACGCAGGACAGGAACCCAAAATGCAGCAGGCATTCCCTCTCTGGATTGCCACACTGAGGTGATGGAAGAGAAAGGTGGTAGTTTCTTGGGTTTCCGGTGGTTTTGATGAGCCTAGAACCCAACCCTGAAAGCAGAGGTCGGCAACCTTTCTTGAGTATTACCCCAAAACAAATTTGTGTACAGAGAAATTACCCACTACACTCAAAAGTCCACAGAATCCGAAATACACAAGAAGCATTCCAATTCAAAATAGTTTATTGAATCCATTTGTATGGAAAATACAGTCATACAAGCTGAAAAGTATGTATTATACACGATAAAGCAACTTTAAAAATAAAACACAAAATTAACAAAATAATAAAATGAAAAATAAACTTTATAAAACAAAAAATAGTAACAGACAAATTTAATAAAAATCTCATTAGAGAACTAAAGAATTTTGCCGAAAAACAATTTTCGCTTCAGGTAATGATTTAAAATACCCAAGAAATGTAATTGATAAATATTTTAAAGTTGCTAGAAATACTTTTTACAATCCAAAAAGGGACAACCAGCCTTATTCAACTAAAAATATGTTGGTTCTCCCTTACCATGAAAACTTGGTTGATATGCCTTCTCTTCTTAAGACTTTTAATATTAAAGTTATATTCAAAAATCTTGATACAGTAAAAAAACTTTTGATAAAGAATTCCCCCCAAAATGCTGATGGATGTGTCTATAAGATTCCTTGTAAAATTTGTGATAAAGTTTATTACGGTCAAACTGGTAAAAAACTCGAACTAAGATTAAAACAACATAAATATAGCATTAGAACTGGACAGATTCCAATGCTCTATTTATTCATGTAAGAGATTTTAACCATCCAATTGATTTTCAAAAAGTTGAGAAAGTAGTATCAAGCAAGTCCATGGTCGACAGGAATATAATTTAATCTTGTTTCATAAAAGCAGTTTTGACAATAATTATGAATATTTCCTTTGGTTTATATAAATTAGATTCATTTATAATTAATAGAATTTGGGAAGAATTTAATAATACACTGGACAAATAATTTTTAAATTTTCTTGGGTAGAATAGTTTGTGGGTGAGTTGTGCAAAGGACCTATCCAAGTTGGGTCGGCGCGCGTCAGGTGTTTAACCGTTGTGGGATCTGATAGTGAGGTGCTGGCCAGACCCCTTATATAGCTTCCTTGGATGCTTTACTTTCATAGTTCCTGATAATGTGGTAGTCACGAAAGCGCTTGGAATTTCTCATTTCTTTCAGAGTGGTTGTTTTGCATATTCTAAAATCACCTGTTTACTGTGTCTTATTGCATATATATATATATATATATTTAATATATATATATATATATATAATATATATATATATATATATATTATATATATAATATATATATTGTAGATGAATGGTTCAGAGAACCGACATGTTGATAAATTAGACACATTTGCAACTCTTGGGAATCTTTATTGAGGAAACGTTTCGCCACACAGTGGCTTCATCAGTCCATACGTAGGAGAAACTTGAAGAACAGGAGGAGAATGAGGTAATCGTCCCTCAACCTTGAGTCGATGTGTTCAGTCGATTGGATTCAATCGATTGGGTTTAACCCTAATTACAAACAAGCAGCGAAACTATAATAATAACATATAATAAGACTATATGAATTTTTTTAAGTACATATTTTGAGCTATCAATAAAGACACTCAGCTAACTATAATTTTTAAAGAGGTGGACCAGTAAGCCAGTGGAAGGCCTCGGTTAGATGACCAAAAGCTCCATCTCTCATCATATGACTAGGACCCGAGTCCGGAAACACTTGTCCTGTTTCCTGACACACATTACACCTGTCTAGGCTAATTCAACCTCCTTATTATGTCAAGCTAATCAAAGGACCAGCAGTGGTAGGGAAAAAAAACATCATAATTGACTCACAAGGTTTCAAACTCAAAGCGCTAAGCCCACAGGGGTCCTACAGCAATTGAAAAAAAGGGTGGTAATCAGGTTTGATCCAAGGAAAGGAAAGTAGCCCCAATTACTTGGATTAATAGTACACATCAAGGTAATCCCCCATCCCCTCTGAACAGTGGTGGTAGTCATTATTATAATAACCCGGAGAAGCGTTAAACTCGTATGAGTCATATGGCGCATGGGGAATGGAAGTAGTCAACTATGGTGATATAACGGGTTTTAATACCCGTGGTGCTAGTTAGAATGATACAAACCTATCTGCTCGGTGTTATTGCACTCAATGTTGACATTAGGAAGGGATTTTGCTACTACCAATTAGTAAGTTTAGCATCTTTATTATGCATCCCATACTCATGGTGTGGGCAGTAGTCAAAGGATTACAGAGGCACAAGTTGACAGCTGAACAAGTTACAAAGGTAATGAAGTATTCACATAGTTATATCTGGTCACACTCGTCGAGTTATTTATGCAAACATTAAATAGGTCACACACACACACGCACGCACACACGCAGGAGCTGTGGGTCGACCCTTGCAACCACAATTAGGCGAGTACAATTACGTGGTAATACTCTTATTTACAGTGAGCAAAGTCAGGGCATTTTTTCCAGAAAGGTTTGTAATATACCATTGTGGATAAAACCCTCTGCAATTTCTTGAACATTTATGAGTGAGTTGTCTCTGAATTCATTAATTTGATCGCATTCCAGTACGTAATGACGCAAGGTGTGACAATCGTCCATCAGGCAAAGTTTACATTTCGTTTGATCTATATCTGGTGATGATGATTTAACCTCCCAAAAATACTTGTATCCCAACCGGAACCAGGCAGTAGTAACATCCAAGTCTGCTTATTTGGATGCACCACAGACATGTGGCTCCTCCTGCATGATAGAATAATGATAGATGGACTGACTGGTGTCACTCTCCCTCAGTCTAAAGTCAATAAAGTCCAGTTGAAGTTCTTTTCGTATTATTGTTCTCAAACTGCTAACTGACAGCCCAAAATTGTACTCAACGCCTTCTCTGAAGGCATATAACTTAACCAGTTCATCAGTTCTATCTTGAACCTATAGACCAATGTCAGATGGAAGCCACAGAATGAGCACTTCGACTCCACTGTCTACAGTCCTACCATACCTGTGTCTGGCTTCTGATAAAAGCATGCCACAGTTTATACATAAGGAGTTGAGACTACCAGTGGTGCTATAACCACAGCGATTTGTACTGCCTGGCTTATGGTAACAGTCACCTCACATGGCTAGTGGTGGTGTTATTCAACCACAGGAATGCAGAGGACTTCCCTGCGGTGCCTGATGAGGGAGGATCTATAGGTTTCACCTCGGAGGGACGCCCTCAGCTGTGGTCGGTGTCTGATAAACGACGGCTGCTGGCCAAATTCTCCCAGTGCCAGAGGCTGGCTCGACTGGGCACTGTGGAAAAACCACAAGTTTTCAGTGACAGTTCAAAACCCATTAAATAAAGGATTCTAAATCTATAATAGTGACTTCATTATGAAGAATATAATTTGGTTTGTATTTTGTTATGTTACAATATGGCGAAACGTGACTCTTGCCAATGAAGTGTAAGGCGCTGAATAAATATGAAATAATGGAGAAAACTATGAGTAAAAATAAAATGAGAATATATATGGTTAGCTTTTTATAATTAATCTAAAAATGGAAACATCAGAAATGGTCAGGATAAGGCAATAATTCTCACGATCAACAAAGTATCGAATTTTGTGCAAAGTAATACTGATACAACTAATTAAATCTAATTAGACAGAAAATGAATCAAGGGGTTAATATAAAACTGTAATTGCTGGCAACGCCCAAAATTAATATAGCAGAAACCATAGATTTCTACTCCTCTGTCTTCCCCTCCTATACACTTACTCTTTAGTTATACAGGGGAAGTAGAAGAAGGCTTGCTCCTTGCCGAAGTTCTCCCCGTCAGCCAGCGTTTGGGGCAGGTCCCTGTGTAAAGTCTCTGGCAATATGAGTGCTACGAACCCCCCGATCACTGATGCCACCCCAAGCACTACTAGTGGCACCAATGGGCTCAGTGTTCCCTGAGGAAGATCACGGACAGAGAACTTTATGAGATAAAACCTCCCACACCCATCTATAATACTTATTGAGGTTGAACAAAATAACTCTATACCATTTCTAGATATTTTAACTGTCAGAAAAACATTAATTCCACACTATAGTTGAATGTGTGTGTGTGTGTACCTCTCCAGGTATACACACACACACACACTAAATATATATATATAAATATATATATATATATATAATAAATATATATATATATATATATATATATAATAAAATATATATATATATATATATATATATACATATTTTTTTTTTCTTCAACAAGTCGGCCGTCTCCCACCGAGGCAGGGTGACCCAAAAAAGAAAGAAAATCCCCAAAATGAAAATACTTATATCATTCAACACTTTCACCACACTCACACATTATCACTGCTTTTGCAGAGGTGCTCAGAATACAACAGTTTAGAAGCATACAACATAAAGATACACAACATATCCCTCCAAACTGCCAATATCCCAAACCCTCCTTTAAAGTGCAGCATTGTACTTCCCATTTCCAGGACTCAAGTCCGACTATATGAAAATAACCGGTTTCCCTGAATCCCTTCACTAAATATTACCCTGCTCACACTCCAACAGATCGTCAGGTCCCAAGTACCATTCGTCTCCATTCACTCCTATCTAACACGCTCACGCACGCTTGCTGGAAGTCCAAGCCCCTTGCCCACAAAACCTCCTTTACCCCCTCTCTTCAACCCTTTCGAGGACGACCCCTACCCCGCCTTCCTTCCCCTATAGATTTATATGCTTTCCATGTCATTCTACTTTGATCCATTCTCTCTAAATGACCAAACCACCTCAACAACCCCTCTTCTGCCCTCTGACTAATACTTTTATTAACTCCACACCTTTTCCTAATTTCCACACTCCGAATTTTCTGCATAATATTTACACCACACATTGCCCTTAAACAGGACATCTCCACTGCCTCCAACCGTCTCCTCGCTGCTGCATTTACCACCCAAGCTTCACACCCATATAAGAGTGTTGGTACTACTATACTTTCATACATTCCCTTCTTTGCCTCCATAGATAACGTTTTTTCACTCCACATATACCTCAACGCACCACTCACCTTTTTTCCTTCATCAATTCTATGATTAACCTCATCCTTCATAAATCCATCCGCCGACAACGTCAACTCCCAAGTATCTGAAAACATTCACTTCTTCCATACTCCTCCTCCCCAATTTGATATCCAATTTTTCTTTATCTAAATCATTTGATACCCTCATCACCTTACTCTTTTCTATGTTCACTTTCAACTTTCTACCTTTACACACATTCCCAAACTCATCCACTAACCTTTGCAATTTTTCTTTAGAATCTCCCATAAGCACAGTATCATCAGCAAAAAGTAACTGTGTCAATTCCCATTTTGAATTTGATTCCCCAAAATTTAATCCCACCCCTCTCCCGAGCACCCTAGCATTTACTTCCTTTATAACCCCATCTATAAATATATTAAACAACCATGGTGACATTACACATCCCTGTCTAAGACCTACTTTTACCGGGAAGTAGTCTCCCTCTCTTCTACACACCCTAACCTGAGCCTCACTATCCTCAAAAAACTCTTTACAGCATTTAATAACTTACCACCTATTCCATATACTTGCAACATCTGCCACATTGCTCCTCTATCCACTCTATCATATGCCTTTTCTAAATCCATAAATGCACTGAAAACTTCCCTACCTTTATCTAAATACTGTTCACATATATGCTTCAATGTAAACACTTGATCTACACATCCCCTACCCACTCTGAAACCTCCTTGCTCATCCGCAATCCTACATTCTGTCTTACCTCTAATTCTTTCAATTATAACCCTACCGTACACTTTTCCTGGTATACTCAGTAAACTTATTCCTCTATAATTTTTACAGTCTCTTTTGTCCCCTTTCCCTTTATATAAAGGGACTATACATGCTCTCCGCCAATCCCTAGGTACCTTCCCCTCTTTCATACATTTATTAAACAAAAGTACCAACCACTCCAACACTATATCCCCCCCTGCTTTTAACATTTCTGTCATGATCCCATCAGTTCCAGCTGCTTTACCCCCTTTCATTCTACGCAATGCCTCACGTACCTCCACCACACTTACATTCTGCTCTTCTTCACTCCTCAAAGATGGTATACCTCCCTGACCAGTGCATGAAATTACTGCCTCTCTTTCTTCCTTAACATTTAAAAGTTCCTCAAAATATTCTCGCCATCTACCTAAAACCTCCATCTCCCCATCTACTAACTCCCCTACTCTGTTTTTAACTGACAAATCCATACTTTCCCTAGGCTTTCTTAACTTGTTTAACTCACTCCAAAATTTTTTCTTATTTTCATTAAAATTTCTTTACAGTGCCTCTCCCACTCTATCATCTGCTCTCCTTTTGCACTCTCTCACCACTCTCTTTACCTTTCTTTTACTCGCCATATACTCTGCTCTTCTTATAACACTTCTGCTTTGTAAAAACCTCTCATAAGCTACCTTTTTCTCTTTTATCACACTCTTTACTTCATCATTCCACCATATATATATATATATATATATATATATATATATATATATATATATATATATATATATATATATATATATATAAAATGGGGTCCACCTCTGGTGTAAATTGTGGGACCCATAGCCTCGGAGAAGTGGATAAAAAGGCTTCAAGGAAAAATATTTGGATTTCTTCCTGAAACCGTTTGAATATTCCACTTCCCCTACCACCCCATCTTTTGAAATATATTTTTTTTACTAATAGGAATATTTTATTACATAATATGGTACAGAAGATTTATATATATATATTATATATATATATATATATATATATATATATATATATATATATATATATATATATATATATATTATTATATTATATATTTATATATATATAATATATATATATATATATATATATATATATATATATAATATGTAATATATATATATATATATATATATATATATATATATATATATATATATATATATATATATATATATATATATATATATATATAATATATATATATATATATATATATATATATATATATATATATATATATATATATAATTATATATATATATATATATATATAATATATATATATATATATATATATATATATATATTATATATATTATATATATATATATATATATATATATATATAATATATATAAATATATATATATATATATATATATATATATATATATATATATATATATATATATAGGGAAAGGGGACAAAAGATACTGTAAAAATTATAGAGGAATAAGTTTACTGAGTATACCAGGAAAAGTGTACGGTAGGGTTATAATTGAAAGAATTAGAGGTAAGACAGAATGTAGGATTGCGGATGAGCAAGGAGGTTTCAGAGTGGGTAGGGGATGTGTAGATCAAGTGTTTACATTGAAGCATATATGTGAACAGTATTTAGATAAAGGTAGGGAAGTTTTTATTGCATTTATGGATTTAGAAAAGGCATGTGATAGAGTGGATAGAGGAGCAATGTGGCAGATGTTGCAAGTATATGGAATAGGTGGTAAGTTATTAAATGCTGTAAAGAGTTTTTATGAGGATAGTGAGGCTCAGGTTAGGGTGTGTAGAAGAGAGGGAGACTACTTCCCGGTAAAAGTAGGTCTTAGACAGGGATGTGTAATGGCACCATGGTTGTTTAATATATTTATAGATGGGGTTGTAAAGGAAGTAAATGCTAGGGTGTTCGGGAGAGGGGTGGGATTAAATTTTGGGGAATCAAATTCAAAATGGGAATTGACACAGTTACTTTTTGCTGATGATACTGTGCTTATGGGAGATTCTAAAGAAAAATTGCAAAGGTTAGTGGATGAGTTTGGGAATGTGTGTCAAGGTAGAAAGTTGAAAGTGAACATAGAAAAGAGTAAGGTGATGAGGGTGTCAAATGATTTAGATAAAGAAAAATTGGATATCAAACTGGGGAGGAGGAGTATGGAAGAAGTGAATGTTTTCAGATACTTGGGAGTTGACGTGTCGGCGGATGGATTTATGAAGGATGAGGTTAACCATAGAATTGATGAGGGAAAAATAGTGAGTGGTGCGTTGAGGTATATGTGGAGTCAAAAAACGTTATCTATGGAGGCAAAGAAGGGAAAGTATGAAAGTATAGTAGTACCAACACTCTTATATGGGTGTGAAGCTTGGGTGGAAAATGCAGCAGCGAGGAGACGGTTGGAGGCAGTGGAGATGTCCTGTTTAAGGGCAATGTGTGATGTAAATATTATGCAGAAAATTCGGAGTGTGGAAATTAGGAAAAGGTGTGGAGTTAATAAAAGTATTAGTCAGAGGGCAGAAGAGGGGTTGTTGAGGTGGTTTGGTCATTTAGAGAGAATGGATCAAAGTAGAATGACATGGAAAGAATATAAATCTATAGGGGAAGGAAGGCGGGGTAGGGGTCGTCCTCGAAAGGGTTGAAGAGAGGGGGTAAAGGAGGTTTTGTGGGCAAGGGGCTTGGACTTCCAGCAAGCGTGCGTGAGCGTGTTAGATAGGAGTGAATGGAGACGAATGGTACCTGGGACCTGACGATCTGTTGGAGTGTGAGCAGGGTAATATTTAGTGAAGGGATTCAGGGAAACCGGTTATTTTCATATAGTCGGACTTGAGTCCTGGAAATGGGAAGTACAATGCCTGCACTTTAAAGGAGGGGTTTGGGATATTGGCAGTTTGGAGGGATATGTTGTGTATCTTTATATGTGTATGCTTCTAAACTGTTGTATTCTGAGCACCTCTGCAAAAACAGTGATAATGTGCGAGTGTGGTGAAAGTGTTGATTGATGATGAAAGTATTTTCTTTTTGGGGATTTTCTTTCTTTTTTTTTTGGGTCACCCTGCCTCGGTGGGAGACGGCCGACTTGTTGAAAATATATATATATATATATATATATATATATATATATTATATATATATATATATATATATATATATATATATATATATATATATATATATATATATATATTTTATATATATATGAGATACTTGCTGTTTGGAGTGACAGCTAAACTGTCATATCTGGGCACCTCTACAAGGGCAGTGATTGTGTGTGAATAGTGGTGAAAGTGTTTCTTTTCTGGGTCACTCTGCCTCAAAATTTATAAAATAGCTAATGATCTAAAATACTCATGAAACTTAATTGATAAGTCCTTTAAAATTGCCAGAAATACTTTTTTACAATTCAAAAAGGGACAACCACCTTATTCAACTAAAAATATGTTGGTTCTCCCTTATCATGAAAACTTAGTAGATATACCTTCTTTTCTTAACACTTTTAATATCAAAGTTGTATTTAAAAATCTTGATACAGTAAAAAAAAATAATAAAAGAATCCCCCAAAATGCTGACGGGTGTATATAAGATTCCTTGTAAAATTTGCGATGAAGTTTATCACGTTCAAATGGGTAAAAGTCTTGAACTAAGATTAAAACAAAATAAATATAACATTAGAACTGGACAAGATTCTAATGCTGTTTATTCATGAGAGATTTTAACCATCCAATTTATTTTCAAAATGCTGAGAAAGTTGTATCAAGCAAGTCCATGGTCGACAGGAATATAATAGAATCATGTTTCATAAAAAAGCAACTTTGAAAGTAATATGAATATTTCTTTTGGTTTATATAAATTGGATTCATTTATAATTAATAAAATTTGGGAAGAATTTAATGATACATTAGAGAAGTAAAAAAACTTAATGGTTGGGTAGAGTATCAGTTGAGTTTCAGAGTCGGGTGTTGTGGCGCGACTGAGAGGTGCAGTCTTGCTCTTATATGCCTTCCTGTTGATGTTTTTTTTTCTAGTTCCATGATAATGTGAGAAGTCACGAAAGCGCTTGGAATTTCGCATTTCTTTCACAGTGGCTGTTCTGCATATTGTGATATTGCCTGTTTACTGTGATTTTATTGTATATATATATATATATATATTATATATATATATATATATATATATATATATATATATATTATATATATATATATATATATATATATATATATATATGCAATAAGATCACAGTAAACAGGTGATTTCAAAATATGCAAAACAACCACTCTGAAAGAATAGAGAAATTCCAAGCGCTTTCGTGACTACTCACATTATCAAGGAACTATGAAAGTAAAGCATCCAAGGAAGCTATATAAGGGGTCCGGCCAGCACCTCACTGTGTGTGTGTGTGTGTGTGTGTGTTGTCATCACCAACCAGATAAACTATGACGGGGGAGAAGAGAGCAGACAAGTATCCGGCTATATGAACCCCTGCAACTCCCTGTGCGCGCACCACCGTCGGCAGGAGCTCAGCTACATACTGCAGTCCAATGTTGTAAGTGATGTTGACCAGCAGACGCCCCATCATTGCCAGCACTGCCACCATCACACCTTTTTCTGTAAGTGTGTGTGTATATATATATATATAATATATATATATATATATATATATATATATATATATATATATATATATATATATATATAATATATATCATATATATATATTATATAATATATACGCGTGCCTAATGGGTAAAACTGGTCAATTAGCAAGTACTCATTTAAAATTAAGTCCTTTCTAAAAATTTCTCTTATACGTTTAAAGATATATTTTTTTAATTAACGTTAATGTAAAAAATTCTAATTTTGCACCAAAAGAATCTTAGAAAACTTACCTAACCTTATTATAACAAACTCAATTTATTTTAGCCTAATCCTACTAAATATATTTTAAATACTTTTACAGTAATTTAATACTAAACAAACACAATGAAATATATTTTTTTCGTTAGGTTTAGAATGATTTTTGCGAAATTATTGCATACACAAATTTTCGTTTGTCCTATATGGCAAGATGAGCGTTGCAATTTAAGCCAAGATCGCAAATTCTGCCTATTCGGCACGACATATTATATATATATATATATATTATATATATATATATATATATATATATATATATATATATATATATATATATATATATATATATATATATATATGCAATAAGATCACAGTAAACAGGTGATTTCAGAATATGCAAAACAACCACTCTGAAAGAATAGAGAAATTCCAAGCGCTTTCGTGACTACTCACATTATCAAGGAACTATGATAGTTCCTTGATAATGTGAGTAGTCACGAAAGCGCTTGGAATTCCTCTATTCTTTTAGAGTGGTTGTTTTGTATATATATATATATATATATATATATATATATATATATAATATATATATATATATATATATATATATACACCCTGCCTCGGTGGGAGACGGCCGACTTGAAAAAAAAAAAAAAAATATATACTATAAAGAATATCTGTTTATGGTGTCTCACCTTGAGTTTTTTTGCTTATGTGTACTTACCAAATTGTGTTGGGAGAGGTGGAGTCTCACCTGGCCCCGGCTCATAAACTACAGTCACCGGCATTACTGACTCTTGGTCTCATGGGCCTATCATACCTACTCTGGAAATGGAGTTTGCCCTTAGCACTTTATCATCTAGATCATTCCACTTACCTTCTGTCCTGACACTGATAAAAAGTATTTTATTTTAACATCCCCGTAGCTCATCTACTTCAGAATCCATCTATGACCCATTGCCAAAATGCCTCGTATTTAAAAAAAACTATGTCACTATCTGGTCTATCAAATCCTCTAAATACCTTGTATGTCATGATCATGTCTTCTCTACACCTTCTCTTTAAGTCATCAGGTTCAATTAATTCAGCCTCTCCTCATTACTACTGCCCTTCGGTGCAAACATCTTTTTTTTTTATTTATATATATGTCTCCACTAACAGTGGAAACTAACAAACCTCTAGGGAAGTCTATCTTTGGAGACGCCCTTGACTTCCCCGGACGAAACCCTAACCCATGAGATTGCTCTGCCACCCGACGTGCATTCCCTACCTGCAACAGCGATGGTGAGGATGCTAAGGGCACCGGAGAGGACCAAGGTACCGAAAGCGAGCCAGCGCCTGCCCCAGCGGTCTAGGGTGAGGATGAGGAAAATGTCGGCTGGCAGCTCTGTAGCTGAAGCTATGCTGAAGGTGACAAATACATCCAGCGGCAGGTTGGACACGTTGCGGGCGTGCCCATCATACACCAAGCTCAGCAGCATCCTGCAACGGGCACCAAGAATATATTCTAGACTTATTGTAGGTTTATTTAACCTACGAAATTCCAAAAAGGCAATAAATGTTAGTTACTTCCACTGGGGTTCCTCCCCTTCCTCAACTAGGTTGTGACACAAAACAGTAAACTAAATCCCAGGTAGCTATTTACTGCTATGGACATACGTACATACAGATACGTTTAAATAATTTAGATCTTGATTACATTTATTTTCACTGGTACCAAGAGTCGCAAATCAATGTTGCAAAATATACAGTACGAAATACAATACAAAACAGTACAATATTTGGGAAGCCAAAATTGTTTCTATTATAAAATATGTACGCAGAGAATTTGTGAATTATTTACTATCTTATGATAAGAAAATAACGTGTGAACCACTGAATATAACACATTAAAAGTTTATTCAAAACAAAAGAAATCAATTAAAGAAACGCATAATTAAAAAAAGGATAGATGTAAAGAGGAGAGGAACCTGGGTTGATGGGAAGGGACCATGGGGGAAAACTCACCAAAGAACGCAGATGGAGATGGTGGTTCTACGAAGTCTGGGCGTCCTGAAGAGGTCCAGCAGCGAGGCAGAAGTCACTTGATCCATAATGACCTTTTCTCCTTCATTTTGAATTTGGTCGTAATTGCTGCTATCCTAAGGAAAGGGTAGGTAAAGGCCGCAAAAGGGGAAGGAGAGTCCGAAAAAAAAGAGAGGGAAAGGCCGCATGAGGCATAAGGTAGAAGCCGAGAAAAGAGACCACGAAAGCAAGAAAGGAAATAACGATAATATTATAATTAGGATCACAGCATAAATATAACTACTTTTGGTTGATTAGTTGGTTAATAGGGCTCAAAACCCTTCACCTACACGAGGATGCATATAACCTGTTCACCACCAATCAAGATTACGTCCGTAAACATGGATTAAAATAAACTCTCATCTGATATATACTGAGAGATACACACCACTCGGTGTTTACATCCATGGGTGACTTGTGTACATTGTAAAGAAATTTTGTTAGCAAAGTAAAACTTGGTGTTGTATATCGGGAAATTATATTTACAATAAACATTTCCAATACTGACAATATAGCCATTCTTTGGATCAAGAGTATTCTACCATCATCAACGGCCTCCCAATCACTTGAAGGGGTCCCCTTTAATAACCTTCCTTGGGGTGATATAACAAATGTATACTAGACTCACGAAATCGTAATGACGATTGCAAACAAACCATACCCCGGCCGGGATTGAACCCGCGGTCAGAGTCTCAAAACTCCAGCCCGTCGCGTTAGCCACTAGATCAGCTAGCCAGCTAACGCGACGGGCTGGAGTTTTGAGACTCTCTGACCGCGGGTTCAATCCCGGCCGGGGTATGGAAATGTATACTAGAATATGACCCGAATTACTTTTAAACAATGTTTCGAGTGGCAGTACTTGGTAAAAGTCGTCATAATTAAATTTGTGGGCATCTGGATACAAAAATACTACATATGACAGAGACAGGTAATGGAAAAAGACAAAATGCAATCATCTGATAAAAGCGTTTTGGTCCTGGGACCTTGCTCACCCCGAATGTGACCAAAGACCCAGGAAATAAACTTTTCCATTAAACATGTACTAAAGTGATTACATTAAGTGTCTTCCCCTCCCCCGCACACACAATTTGTGCGCATAACATTCTCCGTAGTAGAGTTAATGTAAAAATATATTTGAACTTCAGGATTGTTTAACAAACATATCGTGAATTAGATCTCTAGACCAAAATTAATGACTTCAAAAAATTAGTAATATAATCTCCTGTGAAAAGTTCTTTAGATACAATTCAGACGCTCCTTCCTGAGTCAACTCCCAAGCAGATTTTCGAAACTGGAAGTTAGATATTTTTTTTGTAGCCCCGCCTTGATGCAGGCGAGGGATTCTTGATCAAAGGAATGTGACCGATTCTCCTCTTCCTTGAATCGAACCCGAACGCCTTCCCTTCCCAGGCCCTGTATAACCCCAACGGGTGTAGAGCCTCACAATAATAATATGTCGTTTGTAGAATAAGGGACAACGATGGCTGAGCTGCCCATTCACTAGCGATGCTTAGCAGGAAACAGAATACTATTCATGAGACATCTACACAAACATACCATTGCAGATCAAATGTTCCAGGAAAGTTATAATTTGTTGCTCAGTATGGCTGTGACATGGACAAAAAAAACTATTTTGAATTAACACTAGTCTTATTGTGTGCAGGAAGATACATATTTATGAATATTACGTGTTAATACGTGAAGGGACGCAACACAGGCTTCTTAGTGGAGCCGTGCAGTTGTATAGTTGAAGGATAATGATAAAGATGTAATTTCCCATGAATTACATAAAGAAATGAGGGGAAGGGAGCATGCTCACTCCTCAGATGTGACAGCAGTTGCACAAGCGTTGATCGAACAGCCTGACTCGACAGAGGTCAGCAAACTTGAGTGAGTGAAACTTATACAACTGCAGCAACAGATGTGAAATATTTCCCGGGTATGAAAAGAATTTTCAATATTTTTGTACACATTTGACAATTACAAACATTGTCAAAGTCGTGTCGAACAATATAACTAAAGATCATAAGGGACTCACCTGCACCTGCAGGTCGTGCAACACGTTAGGGGGAATGGTGTGCCCGTTCACTTGAGCTATCTTCTCCAGGATCTTCACTGTTTCCTCCACACGTCCTGGTCAGAGCACAGACAATACTATTATTAAATTAATAGGGGAAACCTAAACCCGTAGGGGTCATACAGCGACTGGGGGAATGAGAAGTATTCAGCTTCGATTCAAGGAAGAGAAAGGCAGGTCTAATTCCTTGGCTCAAAAACCCGTCACTACCATTAGGACTCGTGATTTGGTTGGCTGCGTCCTTAACTCACACATGGAGGATCCGGGATAGATCCCCGGTACGGGTGAAACGTTAGACACGTTTCCTTACACCTACTGCCCCTGTTCACCTAGCAGTAAGTAGGTACCTGGGTGTCAGTTGACTGCTTTGGGATTGCATCCTGGGGACAAGATTAATCTAAGTTGCCCGAAATGCTCTGTATAACCAGGATTTCTTATATAGTATGTCAATGATATCAGCGAGGTCTGAATAAATTGCATCATGTAGAAATAATGATACTAATTGTTATTATTATTAATCAAGCAGGACAGGCAACAGGAAAGGTAATTAGAAGCCATATAAGTGGTTTGCATTATGAACACAAACCAAACCTGGTTTAGTCAAGACCACACCCAGTCTGGTTGTCAAGGACACATCCTGGAGTTTACCTGGAGAGGGTATCGGGGGTCAACGCCCCCGCGGCTCGGTCTGAGACCAGGCCTCACGGTGGATCAGGGTCTGATCAACCAGGCTGTTACTACTGGCCGCACGCAAGTTGACGTACGTACCACAGCCCGGTTGGTCAGGTACTGACTTTAGGTGCCTGTCCAGTGCCTTCTTAAAGACAGCCAGGGGTCTATTGGTAATCCCCCTTCTGTAGGCTGGGAGGCAGTTGAACGGTCTTGGACCCAGGACACTTATTGTGTTAGTCTCTCAATGTTCTCGTTGCACCTTGCTTTTCATGGGGGAATGTTGCATCTCCACTGCGAGTTTTTTGCTTTCATAGGGAGTGATTTTCGTCGTGCAGTTTGTGGTACCAATCCCTCCAGGGACCTTCCAAAAGTGTTATATTATCATGTATCTCTCTGCGCTGCGTTCCAGAAATTACAGATCAAGGACCTTCAAACTGTTCCCGTAATATTTAGGTGCCTTATCGTGCTTATATGTGCCGTGAAAGTTCTTTGTATACTTTCCAGGTCTGCAATGTCGCCAGCCTTGAAGGGGGCAGTTAGTGTGCAGCTGTATTCCAGCCTAGAGAACACAAGCGATATGAAGAGAATCATCATGGGCTTGGCGTCCCTAGTTTTGAAGGTTCTCATTATCAAACCTATCATTTTCCTAGCAGATGAGGTAAGGATGGGAGATACATAAAATGTTAAAGAAGATACATAAAACTGTTAAAGAAGAATAGTGTGACATTTATCCCTAGTTTATGAATAGTTAGAATCACATCAAAAATCTTTTAGCTTATCATGCTAAAGGGAATGGGGTGGGGGCAAGTTGCTTTGATGCCGGTGAAGGGTTCTTGAGCCAATGAACTGGAGTTACCTTCACTTCTGATCGAACCTGATCACCTCCCATTACCCTGGAGCTGTATAACCCTTATGAGTTTAGAGCTTCTTCACGAATACTATAATAATAATAATATGTCATAATTGAATAATGCATCTGGCGTATTCCAGCGATAAATTATATTTAAAATATTCAAAATTAAGTGGGTTCTGTCATGACTTAATATTAACCTTTGATTAGCCCTGATGCGGCATTCGATCCAAATAAGACTATTATTTTGCTAATATCTCGCAAAATAACAAATTGCACAAGAAATGGCTATTTATTTCGTGGTGTAATAGCTTATCAATGTATTGCAAAAAAAAAAAAAAAAAAAAAATACCAGAGTTCCGCCTAGGAGAAGCCTTCCTATAATTTTTATATTATAAAAAACTAATAAACTTTATAATTAAAGGGTCCTCGTGAATATAATAATAAATAAATACCCTGGGAGAGGAGCCAGCGGGGACTCTCTGGAAGGATCCAGATGGCCAGGCAGGAGAGGACCATGGGAGTGGCCGAGGCAGCAGTAAGAAGACGCCAGTTTCCTGCCCACACCGCTAGCCAAGGTAGTGCCACCGTCCCCGCAGTGTAGAAAAGAGCGATGGAGAGATTAGCCACCAAAGTACGTTTGCAGGGACCAACGTATTCCAGCACTGACAGAGGAGGGAAGCAGAGGAATATCTGAAATTCGGTAGCCACTCGCAACAACGCCAAAAGCTTCTTAGTGATGCTAGTACTACGCTATCCACACAAACACTATTTAGCCGCACCACAACCACACCAGCAGCCATTCATCTGCGTAACCCTTCAAGTGAGGTGCCTTGAAGCCGGTGAAGGGCTCTTGATCCAAAGAATTAGAGCAGTACTCCTTAGGATCGAATCAGATTGCTTCCCAATCCCCAGGGTACAGAGCTCCCCATGAAGTAAATAAATACAGCTACAGCAACAGCCATTCATGTAAAAAGACCCGATTGCTGTTTTAGTTAGCCTTATTAAAGACAACGTTTCACCTATGGGGATGAGGTGCAATATATTAGAAGGAGTATTATTCAATCTGATGATTGGCCACAACAATATGCTTTGCTCAACAACTGTTATTGCCAGATTCTTCCCCCATAGCTGCTCTGCTTTGAAACCTCTTTTGTTTTTGACCAAAGTTGCAGGCTGTGATGAAGGCGGTTTCTTAATACTTTCTCTAATTTACCACCCTCTTTCATGGCTAGTTTGGCCTACCTATTTCATTGTTATGTGAGTTTGAGTGTGCAACACAAGCATCATTCAAACTGGCTGTTCTGAAAGTATATTTGTTTTCGTTATGAATTACCTGGAGTTTTTTCCTGGGGAGAGAGGTACGGGGGTCAACGCAACCGCGGCCGGTCTGTGACCAGGCCTCCTGGTGGATCAGTAGCCTGATCAACCAGGGCTGTTGCTGTTGGCTGCACGCATAACCAACATCCGAGCCACAGCCCGGCTGATCCGGAACTGACTTTAGGTGCTTGTCAGTGCCAGCCTTGAAGTCTGCCAGGGGTCGGTTGGTAATACCACCTTTGTGTGCTGGGAGGCAGTTGTACAGGTCTCGGGCCCCTGACCCAATTTTTGTATGGTCTCTTAACGTGCTAGTGACACCCCTGCTTTTCATTGGGGGGATGGGCATCTCTGCCAAGTCTTTTGCTTTCGTAGTGGGTGATTTTGTGTGCAAGTTCGTACTAGTCCCCTCTAGGGATTTTACAGGTGTATATATAATCATGTATCTCTCCCTCCTGCGTTCCAGGGAATACAGGTTTAGGAACCTCAAGCGCTCCCAATAATTGAGGTGTTTTATCTCCGTTATGCGTGCCGTGAAAGTTCTCTGGCCGTTTTTTTTTTACACGACATTTGTCAAACACCACAAGCAAATTTTGCTTTATCTACTCTTGCAATCATCATGCAACCATACACAGGTACGTAAGTACAATTGGTGAGTACAACAGGTTCTTTCTTCTGTTATGCTTTTCTCAGGTATGAATAATGACCCGAAAATGCCCGTTGTACAGGTGAAGCATTTTTCAATAAACTTGCACTTTGTGCCATTTTTACATGCACTCAGCTATATTCATATACAATTTATTGTTATAAATAAATAACCACATAAACTTCACCAACAGCCACTCAGCCCCACTAATCAGTCCCCCCCCCCCCCCACTTGCACCAACAAACAAATGCCTAAGTCACTCAAAAGTATTAAACCGTTTACCTACCTATGACATAATCATGACAAGATGTTGACGAAGGCAAAACCAGCGAAAAACCTATAGACTAGGAAGTCTGGCCGAGAGGTGGAGAAGGCGGTCAGGATGGAGGTAATTGCCCCCACGAAGTTAGTTGCCACCAGTACGGGCACACGGCCATATCTGCAGTAGGAACAATATAACTATCATACTGCATAGGATAAGTCTCGCACACCCCTTGCGATTATATTAGTCTGTTAGAAAATAGGGTGTTAGGATTAATAGGGTGCAGTCTCTTGGGGATCCTGTTCTTTGACCGGATTTCTTGCTACCTCCATTAGTATGAATCATTTTCTCAAGGTTCTAAATCATGCAAGACATGTGTATTACGTTATGGTAAAACACCTAGCTTCCTGAGTGCTTGATTCTGGTTGGATTGAGTGGCCCTGTGGGGTTAGTCGTCATGTGGTTTCGCTCCACCATGTGGGCAAGCCAAATACGACACATGGTGTTCGAGTCATCGGCTAGTCGCAGTTGATTTATTGATTAATAAACAATCGTTCGTGATTACTTTATATATATATATCAATTATATATATATATTATTATATATTATATTTAATATATATATATATATATATATATATATATACATATTTGTCGTGCCGATATGTAAATGGTCAATTAGCAAGAACTCATTTAAAATTCACTCCTTCAGATATTTTCTCTTATACGTTTAATGACATTTTGTTTTCATTAATGTAATGTAAAAAATTTATAAATTTTGCACACCAAAAGAATCTTAGGTAACTTACCTACCTTATTATAACAAGCGTAAATTTATTTTAGCTAACCCAACTAAATACATTTTTAGATTTGTTTTCAATTAATTTAATACTAAACAATACACCAGGTTGAAATATACTTTTTTCCGTTAGGTTCAAATTGATTTTGGCAAAATTATTGCATACACAAAGTTTCACTTGTCCTATATTGCAGGTGAGCGTTGCTATTTAAGCCAAGATCGCATGTTCTGCCTATTCGGCACGAAATATATATATATATATATATATTATATATAATATATATATATATATATATATATAATATTATATTATATATATATTGATATATTATATATATATATATATACATATATAAATGGGTGTAGGTGGTAGACAGCAACAACCAGGAGGTACTACGTCCTGCAAGTGAGGGTTAAAACGAAACCGGTAATGGTTTTACCATGATGTAGATTGCTGGTGTCTTTTGTCTGTCTTCATAAATATGCAAGATTACAGTTAGTCTTGACTACCTTTCTTTCTTACACATTAGGTCACACTACACTTACATGTACTCGTTATTATACACACTCATCTTATGAGATTTTCTTTGATTTTATCTTAATAGTTCTTGGTCTTATTACTTTTCCTTTTATATCCATGGGGAAGTGGAATAAGAATCTTTCCTTCCGTAAGCCATGCGTGTTGTAAAAGTCAACTAAAATGCCGGGAACAATGGGCTAGAACCCACTATTACTGTAAGATTACTAAAAGAATAAGAAGAAATTGTCAAAGTGGGAAGTCTGAAAGTGCGTGGATGTTGTGCAAATGATAAGAAAAGAGATGATTGTTGGATGTTATGAATGAGAAGAAAATGGATGTCCTGCTTTAAGTGGAAACAAAGCTGAAGGGGGGGTGGGAGAGTTTCAATGGGAGGAATAAATGGGATAGGTCAGGGGTTTTCAAATAGAGTAGAGCTAAAGAAGAGAGTAGCAAAATAATGTGAAGGATAAGCTAATGCTGAAAGAGGATACTAAATGTAAATAAATTCAAGGATTATTTGGAGTAAATTAGAGATTGGATGTGAAATGTGGTTATAGAAAGCGTTGTTTATGCACTGGAGAAGGGAGTAAGTGTAGAGTGACGAGAGAGAGTTTATGGAAATGTTGAGTGAATGATGGGGAGTTTGAATCAAGTGTGAGGAGTAATGGTGGCTGGGGATATCAATGCTAAAGTGGGTAAAATGTTCATGGAGGGAGTAGTAGTAATTTTGTGGGTTGCCAGGGGTAAATGTCAATAGGGAGCATTTAATTGAGCTATGTGTAGAAAGAAATTTGGTAATAAGTAATACATATTTTTGAAAAAAAGAGGATAAATAAATATACAAGGTATGATGTAGCACGTAATGAAAAGTAGTTTGTTTGATTATGTATTGGTGGTTAAAAGGTTGAGGGGTAGGCTCCTGGATGTACATGTTTTAGTGGGGCAACTGATTATCTCGGATCATTATTTAGTTTGTAGCTACAGTTAGAGTAGAGTAGATGGGAAATGAGGAAGGTGGCAACAACAAGTGTAAGAGGGAGGGAAAGTGTTTAAACTAAGGGAGGAGGAAGTTCGGGCGAGATATCAAGCGACTTATTGGCAGAAAGGTGGGCTTGTGCAAGATGAGTAGTGGGGGGGTGAAGAGGGTTGGAATAGTTTTAAAAATGCCGAGTATTAGAATGTGGGGCAGAAGTTTGTGGTTATAGGAGGGTGGGGGCAGGAGGAAGAGGCGTGTTGGTGGGGAAATGATGAAGTAAGAGGGATGTGATAAAAAGAGAAGAAAAAGTAGCTTACGAGAGGTTGTTTACAAAGCTGAAGTGTTATTAGAAGAGCAGTGTATATGGAGAGTAATGAAAGGTGAAGAGAGTGGTGAGAGAGTGCACAAAAAGGGAGAGCAGATGAAAGAGTGAGGAGTGGCTCTGCAAGAAATTTTAATGAAAATAAGAAAAAAATTTTGAGTGAGTTAAACAAGTTTAAGATAGCCTAGGGAAAGTATGGATTGTCAGTAAAAAAACAGAGTTGGGGAGTTAGTAGATGGGGAGAGGGATGGTGTTAGGTAGATGGCGAGAATATTTTGAGGAACTTTTTTAAATGTTAGGAAGAAATGCAGGCGGTAATTTCATGCACTGGCCAGGAGAGGTTACCATCTTTTAGGAGTGAAGAAGAGCAAGACTGAAATGTAAGTTGTGGTGGAGGTTACGTGAGGCATTACGTAGAATGAAAGGGAGGGTATTTAAAGCAGCCTGGAACTTGTTGGGATCATGACAGAAATGTTTAAATGCAGGGGGGGATATAGTGTTGGAGTGGTTGGTACTTTTGTTTTAAATAATGTATGAAAGCGGGGAAAGGTACCTAGGGATTGGCGGTGAGCACTGTATAGTCCCTGTATATAAAGGGAAAGGGGACAAAAGAGATTGTAAAAATTTATAGAGGAATAAGTTTTACTGAGTATACCAGGAAAAGTATACGGTAGGGTTTTAATTGAAAGAAATAGAGGTAAGGACAGAATGTAGAATTTCGGAACGAGACAGGAGGGCTTCAGAGTGGGTAGGGATGTGAAGATCAAGATTGTTTACATTGAAAGCATATTGAGAACAGTATTTAGATAAAGGTAGGGAAGTTTTTATTGAATTTATGGATTTAGAAATGGCATATGATAGAGTGGATAAGTGGAGCAATGGGCAGATGTTGCAAGTATTTGGAATAGGTGGTAAGTTACTAAATGCTGTAAGTGCTTTTATGAGGATAGTGAGGCTCAGGTTAGGGTGTGTTGAAGAGAGGGAGAATACTTCCCGGTTAAAGTAGGTCTTAGACCAGGGCATGTGTAATGTTCACCATGGTTGTTTAATATATTTATAGTTGGGGTTGTAAAAGATGTATATGCTAGGTGTTCGGGAGAGGGGTGGGATTAATTATGGGGAATCTAATTCAAATTGGGAATTGACACAGGTACTTTTGCTGATGATACTGTGCTTTATGGAGATTCTAAAGAAAATTGCAAAGGTTAGTGGTATGAGTTTGAGAAAGTGTGTAAAGGTAGAAAGTTGAAAGTGACTAGAAAAGGAGTAGGTTGATGAGGGTATCAAATGATTTAGATAAGAAAAATCGGATATAAATTGGGGAGGAGGTGTATGGTAAGAAGTGAATGTTTTCAGGATACTTGGGAGTTAAGTTGACGTTGCCGGCGGATGGATTTATGACAGGGATGAGGTTATCATAGAATTGATGAGGGAAAAAAGGTGAGTGGTGCGTTGAGGTATATGTGGAGTCTAAAAAGTTATCTAAGGAGGCAAAAGAAGGGAATGTATGAAAGTATAGTAGTTACCAACACTCTTATATGGATGTGAAGCTCTGGGTGGTAAATTGCCAGCAGCGAGGAGACGGTTGGAGGCAGTGGAGATGTCCTGTTAAGGGCAATGTGTGGTTGTAAATATTATGCAGAAAATTCGGGAAGTGTGGAAATTAGGAGAAGGTGTGGAGTTTTAAAGCAATTAGTCAGCGAGGGCCAGATGACGGGGTTGTTGAGGTGGTTTGGTCATTAGAGAGAATGGATCAAAGTGAATGCATGGGAAAGATATTAAATCTTATAGGGGAAGGAAAAAATGAGGGGTTGGGGTCGTCATCGGAACAGAGTTCGAAAAGAGGGGGTTTAAAGGAGGTTTGTGGGTAAGGGGCTTGGATTCAGCAAGCGTGCATGAGCGTATTAGATAGGAGTGAATGGAGACGAATGATACTTGGGACCTGACGATCTGTTGGAGTGTGAGCAGGTAATATTGAAGTGTAGGGATGCAGGGAAACGGTTATTTTCATATAGTCGGACTTAGGGCCTGGAAATGGGAAGTACAATGACCTGCATTTAAAGGAGGGTTTGGGTTATTGGCAGTTTGGAGGATATGTTGTGTTTCTCTATAGTATATGCTTCTAAACTGTTGTATTTCTGAGCACCTCTGCTAAAGCAGATGATAATGTCGTGGTGTGTGTGAAAGTTGTTGGATGTTGATGAAAAGTATTTTCTTTTTGGGGATTTTCTTTCTTTTTTTTGGGCACCTGCCTCGAGTGGGAGACGACGATTTGTTGAAAATATATATATATATATATATAGATATTATATATATTATTATATATTTTATATCATTTATTATATATTTTATATATATATATTATATATTATTTACATGGAATTCGCGGGAGGCGGACGAGCACGCTAGCGAGACGAGAGCGAGACATTGCGAAAAATATATACACAAACACTGATCTTGGCTCTGGATGGACAGGACGACTCGGAATCTACGAAACCTTAGGTACAAGGTATACGCAGGGCTTTACCAATTCTACCCACTCTCGGACACAAATACCTTG